TCCCTTTGTTTACCCTTATTCTGAAAGCTCTGAAATTATCATCTTTTGGGAACCAGAAACATGAATTACTGGTTAAAGACGATCAGTCCAGGTCACCAGCATTTCATGATGTTCTTCACCTTGTGAGCACTTTAACAACAGGTCTCCTGGCTGCAACAGCAAAGCCTGTGTTTTGCCCTTTTTTATGGCCCCACAGAGGATACCCACGTGGCCTTCCTCACAGGTCTTCCAAACAAATCCCTCCAGGCGACAAAACCACACGTGGCATCTGAAAGGCTTCTCACCTCAGGAGTCTGTCTTCAACACTGGGGAGGTCCAGCGCCTGCCTTTCCATCCCTGCTTCTTCCACAGTCCTCCTCCTTACTCTCTTAAATGTTTAACCACGTTCCATGGAGATGACGGAGACAGAAGGAGATCACAAGTGCTGTGCAAATGCCCGCTACGCAGTGTGTGAAACCTTACTTTCAATGCATAGCTGCCCAGTGCAGAAGGAGCTGTATGAGAATGCTCTGGCGATCAGTTTGTCCCCTTGAGCTTCACGGGGGATTAATAAGATGCTTATTTAAAATAAAGCTGTAGATAGAAAAAACCCCCAAACTATTAAAAAGCTCTGAATTTAAAGAACGTTTTCCAAGTTGTGTGTTTACATGATGTGAATGAACTCACACAATGCTGGCAACAAGGTGCCAACTTTACAGTCCCTAGAAACTCTCTTTTGCCCCAAATAATTATAGAACCATTTGCTACTCAGCCACTTCTCCCAGGGGCTGAGGGGAATTTGACCTATTTTTTCATTGCTCTTCTTTTCTTGACAGGCAAAGATACAGCATATAGTGGTTTTCTTCTGTAATTTAGATACCTATTTATTCGAGAGTAAAGTGAGGCTTCCGGCTTCACAGCCAAAGGAATGCCAGACAGGAACTGAAAACGAAGAGCTGAAAACTTTCTAAATTTCTTTTTAAAAAAAATCATTACTGCCCTGTACTAACAAGCCTTTAGTGGTCTTACAGCTCAAATGCATCTTTATTTATATTAACTATACTTCTCAGCTCACGTTAGCAATGAGGAAAAGGGTTTGCCATACCTAAAAGCACTCTTTTTCAGGATATGGTTTCAAACATTCAGCTGGACAAGAGACAAGGAGAATAGCTAATGGCAGTCTCTGAAAAACGCTTTCACTTCTGCTCCTGCACTGAAACTGGTGCCTTCAGTTTCTTTGCAACAACAGTAAGGAGCCTAAGTATACAGCGGTTTCAGCCAGTGGAGGGCAGCAGCAGCTGTGCCTTAACACAATAGTTATTTGAAAATTGGCTGAAAAATCTTTAGAATTTTCAGTTCAGCCTCAGGACACTGAGAAATAGATTAGTAGAGTGAATGATTATTTTAAAATCTGTTTATGTTCCTAATTTATTAACAAAGATGATAGCAACAGATTTCAAGTAAAGAGAAAGATCAACCTAGCAAAAATACTACCAAAGACAGGAACCCGAGTTCCAAATAATTTTTGGCACCCAACAGAAAGTGAGATTTACAACCGCAATAACAAATGTCAATAATGCCATCAGCCTTGGGAGAACAGATCCAAGGTTAAATAGTGAAAAAAACATAGACATTCTGAGCAGTCTTTGACATAGCTGCAGTAAAATGTGATTCTTCAAGTACTCCCATGTCAAGTGGGTAAATGCCACAGTGGAACACAAAGCTGGGACTGACATTTCAGACACCCTAATGGCTGCTTCTTGCAATGCATCATGGAAACCATGAGATGGAAAAAAAACTTCTGGAATTTTGAGAAATGCTCAGGACATGGTTCAAACAAACTATCACCACTGAAGAGCCACTCTGGAATAATGACCATAGTCTACTCAAATTCAGCATCGCTCCAAAATCTTCTACATTGACGTTGACTTTCAGGAAGAACTGCATAGAGAAGGTACAATGAAATTAATACCATCAACTAAAGTGATTAAATACTTGAAAAGCAGCATGGGCATTTTAAAAAAGCAATCAGGGCAAGGCTCAAGGAGAATATTTCAAAAAGATTCTCTCCTAATTTTTTCCTTCCTAAAGTATGGAAGGCCAAGCACCCCAGTAAAGAGAAATAAGCAATGAGCAATAATAACAATAAAAATAGTAATAAGCAACCCTGCGAAAAGTTTAAAACCTGTCCAAGCAAACAAAGTAGAAAAGAAGGCATACTTTGGCAAATAGGTTACAAAAACACAATTAAAATCTGGAGGAAGAAAAACTCAGGAAAACCTTCCCCATGGCATAGAAATTACCTGATGATTTTTTTTCAAGCTTAAGAGTCAGGAATCCTACCTGAGGGTCTGTAGGGCCAACTGATTATGCTTTTTTAAAGAAAACATTCAAAAAAGACAGAAGTGTGGCAAAAAAAAAAGCAAAGAAACTCCTGGCCTGTATTGTGGAGGTTAAGAAGGCTCCTACAGCAGAACTTTTCTTAATGAGGGAGGCAACAGGAGACCTGTCTCAAACTGAAGCATTAGTTGATGAGATTTTAATATGATGTAGGGAGAAGAGCTAACAAGGACTATCAACAAGGGCAATCACGGCTCATCAATGTGCTGGAACTCTGTATATAGGCAAGGGTGATCTGATCTACATAATATTTTTGGATGTTTTAAAATGTTTACAAGGAAATCTCTCAGAGTGCCCTAAAGAGAAGAAAAATGCTAAAAAAGGTCCTTTTCTGTATTGTTGTCTAGTTAAGAATAAGAAATAAAGAGGAGAAATAAATTGTTCACTTTCACAAAAAATGAAGGTGACCATTTATGTCCTAAAAGAAACTTTGCTATAGCCTGTTGTGTTTTTACATACTCATGAATGGTCTTGAAAAATGGGTACAGGGGAGGGTGCAAAAATATACTGATACTGAATTCTTTAGGACCATAAAAACAAAAGCAGACTGTGAACAGTTGAGAAATACTAAGTAACTAGACAATAAAACAGCAGATAGTCATTCATTCTTTATTGAAAAATGCAGAGATGCACATCAAGAAAAACAATCATACACTGATCAGCTCTGAACTAGCTGTGGCCAGGTGAAAAAAAGATACAGGTCTAAAAACACTTCTATTATAGGGATAGTATAGGACATTTCTGGTTAGCAATTCTAGCATATATTAATTTGTTAGGTGGCAGGGCCAAAATAAACAAGAGCAGGAACTTTTCCCCTGTTGTTTATTTGTCAAACACGCAGTTACAGGATGTTGTACAACTCCAAAACTTACATTCACGCAAGAGAATTAGATAAATTCCTGAAACTCCTTGGAGGATTAGTAGACACCAATATGCAAATCACTTTTCCAATATGGAAAGTCACTAATTAACAGATTGCTGAAAGCTGGTAGGTAGGACCAGAGGTAGTATCAGTGCATAATTGCCCCGTCCTTATTTTCTTCCCTCCGTACCTGCTTTTGGCCACTAAGTGAGAGAGCATACCAACAGGGTAGGTAGATGTACTATCTGCCCTTGTACACAGCCTGCTCTACAGCAAAAGTACGTTACCGCTGATAGATACGGACCAGTCGAGTGACAACGCAGCCCTAAATGAGGAATGTCATCACCAACTCAAAGCAGAGAAGGGCCCCGTCCAAAAGAGACTTCTTCTAAGATTTAATTAAAGCTTATCCAAGTTGATGACAGTGAATTTGTGAAGAAGTTTGCCACTCATTTTATAGAGGGATGGTGAGACTCGGAGCATGTGAAAGCCCGAGTTTTAGAAACACTTGCATCACAGATTCAGGGGGCATTTTTGGTGATTTGTACATCCGAAAACAAAGCCAACAGATCTGTCACAGAACCTGTGACAGCCTTTACTCACAGCCACCAGACCACCATGCAGTGTGTAGCATCTTGGCATCTTAAAAGATTTTACTATCTTCTTTCATACTCTATCTGCCCACCCATTCCTCTTCTGTTGCTATTCCTAAAGAGGATGAAATTCTCCTACAGCTCGAAACACCTACTTTTGCAGCCTACAGCCCCAAAGACTTTCTCTTGTGCGTAATCTCTTTTGGTCCTTTTTGCTATCTAGAACCACAATTCAGTTCCTCCTCACGTAGCAAAGTAAGCCATGCTAGAAAACCACATCAGATGGGGCACTGAAGAAGACAGGTCAGGCAATGCTCTTCAGGGTCCCAACACATTTAATCTGTGTCTGGGGAGCTGAAGCAATCACTGTTTTGGTGGTATATGAGAAGCCAATTGTGCTGCATCAACCAGAGCTGTAGCTTTCCATCCCCATTCATCTTTGACTTGCCAAGCCAGCCAGGAAAAGAATGATGAGACAGACTCAAAAATGAAGCGGTTTTCTGAAGGCTTTCCACAGAGCTTTCAAAAGTGATTTTTGTTTTGGTTTTGCTAGTTTATTTTATTTCAAATTTGGGGCTTTGTATGGTCCATTTTGTCACTCTTCAACAATCAGCAGAAATATTTCCAGCCCACAACACATTGTTATCAGACCTAGCACGGATGTGGACAGAGCATCTTTTTCTGCTTGCAGGGAACTTGACCTCTAAGACCAGCCAAGCAGCCAGGGTTCTTCGTCTTTTGGTCCTCTTACTGAAGAATAAAATTAAGGCACTACAGCATGGCAGGGCAAACATTGATGCTGATTTATTGCAATCCAGATTCTAACAATAACACAAAGAGGATTCAAAGGAAATTCTGTACTTTAGGAATCAAATGTTCCTGTGATGAAGCTGAAATCGCCAGCTGATGACCAGGTTTCCTCACTCTATGCATCTCTTTCTATATGGGAAGAGAAGAAAAGAGTTGAATATCAAATCATGAGGTCCTGAGGTAGGTCAGCTCTCAACCGTCCCAGCGTGATGTAACACTAAGGGACTGATCCATCTGTTGGGAGACACTATGGGTATCTGCTAATCCCCTTTGCCTTACTGTTTCATAACAAAGGTTCTTTAAAAAAAAAGTGCAGATAAAATGCATAGTTATCTTAGTTTGGATGCCTACAAAAAGTGTTCACTTACAAGGCTGATCTCTTCCTCCGGCATTTTCCTCTCGATAGATGGATCCCTCTGTAACAAGACATCAGAAGGGTCACACTGCTGGACGTTACCCCCCTACACACAGCCAGTGAAGATAACAATACAGCCCCATGCCTTGATCTGCCAAGCAGGACACAGTGATGCCCGACAGGTTGGTACAGATCAGAGTAGTTGCGAAAGAACACTGACGGGGAAGCACAAAAATAGGATGCTCTGGAAGAGCCCAGGCTACCTTTTCAACTAAAAGGGTTTATTACCTAAAAAAGCAGCCATGCAACAAGCAATCCTAGATAATTTTGTCTACCCAAAGACACCTTATGCTTTTCTTTCCATCCAAACAAATCACCCTCAGAAGCAGACGTAACCCTACATTTTAAAATGAAGGTTTAGATCCAATTCCAGATCCAGACATGTCCGATCAGATGTGGCAGACTGAGCCCAGTCACTAATGAGCCAGGACCTGGATATGAACTCAAGGTAACAACTTCTGCCCTTCCTCGTGCACACACAACTTCATCAACTTCTAGCAGTGGGAGAAAGTTGCTTTTTTTTTTTTAATTAGGCAACAGAGCACTGTGTCTAGGTCATGAAGATCTGGGATCTCCAAATTGATCAAGACCCTGAAGAACACAGATAAGGTAACATCTGTATAAAAAGAAGAGCAGGATTTTCACTGTAGTGGGGCAGAAAAAAAAACCAAAACAAACAGAAATGAAAACTCACGTGGATCCCCAATCACAGATCCTTCATTCAAACTGATTCTGTGTTCAACTGCTGGCATAAGGAAAAGATGTTAAAAAACAAAAGACAAGCAAAAAAACGAAACCAGTAAAGCCAGTTCTTTATAACAAATCACTCTACAATTCAGTTGGTCTTTCTGCTTCCAAACTGGGTATGAGGTACCCAAAAGAAGGTAATCCAGAGACCAAGCAGCATTGGTAACTGGCACACTGCATGTACCACCTGCCACTGGCATATAGGACCTGACGCCTCTCCGACTACACTGCGTTTGCAGGGAAGAAGGAAGATGCAGCTATGATGTCCTACAATGGTAAAATCAGGAATCCTGGGATTGCTGTGCATTGGCCGCATCCCTTGCAACGTTTGTTTATTCTCTGGAGATAGCCCACACCTTAATTGTTGATGCTTTATGGATGGTTTCCCTTGTCCTGAATTTAGATCAGAATCCTAGCACAGCCAGGAGGCCTCCATACGTGATATTAAGACAACTGCTTATTATTTCTATTACCAGAATATCGGGTACATTCCTTATGAACCATGGAGCTATTTTATTAGGCACTATTGTTTAATATCACAGCAAAAATACCTATCCTTGCCATGTTTTCCTCAGAAAAGAGTTACAGGCCTCATGAATATCTTTATTAAGTTATTGAGGCAAAACCTACTGCTTGATGCTCGTTCAGTGTAAAGAAATCTCTGTGGATTTAAAAAAGTTCCCACAATCACAAGCGCTCTCTCCAGCATTTTCATGCTTATAGTTCTTTAGAATGTGCCTGAAAAATAAACTGTTCACATAGTCTAATAAAGACACAAACATCACCATTTATAAGCTAAAGAAAACTAAAGAGGAAACTTCTTACATGTTCTCTTCTGCCCATATTGCTCAGTGGAAATGATGCTGGGCTCACCTACAGAAAAAGAAAAATCAGTACTCTATGGAAATGTATGCTTCGCATCCTTTTCAGCAAAACCCTTTGTAAATTGCCACCGCACGGTAGTGTAGGGCTGGCTGCGCTAAGCAGAGGAAGCAGAAGTAGCAAGCTAGCTGAATTTCCTGCACCCCCTCCCAGCAATATCAGTAACTGGTAAGTTTTTCATGCAAAGCTGGCCGTTTATCTCATACGTAAAACGGACTGTGCTATTTTTGCCTTCTTAAAATAAATGCCCACAGATACTTTTTCCCTTTGCTTATGTTTTATATACGTAACTTCTATCTGCTGCAGGCTTGAAGAATCTATGACAAGAATAAAGATTAGTGAAATACTGACAATACAACAGACAAAAAATGAAAAATGTGCCAAATGAGAAAGTTATTTGGATACCATTAAACAGGGGTTTGGGGTTCTGCTTACATTTATTTCATTTCCATAGTATATTTACAGCTGGAGAATGGAAATGGATAAAAACTTAGCTATTTCTCCTAATTCCAGCCTAATATAGCATACTAAAAATAACTACCTCCAGAAACAATAAAAACCCTCAGTCCTTCTGCCTCTCATTATACTTCACAAAGGAATAGGCTAAGAAGCAGGTGATGACCATAAAATCTTCCTTCTCTCTACAGGCCATCACACACTGTAGGAATCCAAGGTGTGTGAGAGAGGGTAACTGTGAAGCTGTTGGCTGAAGACATTTGCAGGCAGAAAGGTAAAAGAAATGGAACTCCCTGGACATACCAGTCATGTAGTCTTCCTCTGTGACAGAGTCGTATTCAACTATTTTTAAAAAAAAGTATATAATTACTAAAAATAATATTGGCATATTTTAAAAGGCAAACTTTTCTAAAGGCTTTAGAAGACACCTGAGCCCATGAGAAATGCACTGAGGTTCAAGTTTCATTCTGTGGAAGAACCACTCAAGTCAGACGTCGAAGAGAAAGAGGAAAACAACAGGATTCTGATCCACCGGCCTCTCCTCCCCATCACCTCAGCCCCTCCTGAAATCCGTACTACCAAGGAAAGAGTATTAAATATTTTACTTGCTACCGAGCAGGTTGAAAAGTAATATTGCTGGCGGGAGCTAAAACCCTCAGATTTCTCAACATTTTTGGCCAACTTCACAAGTGTTGTGTGACGAGACAGGGAAACTGCACTCCAGGTGGTCTCCTCCAGGTACACATCTCACCAGAAGGCACTCACTTCCCACAGCACACGAAAGAAGCTGTGAGCATGCTGACCAACTGTGAACGTTTTAGATTTCCCCTGGATTGGGGATCGAGGACATGAAGTTTTGGGGTCGTGCTACACAAGCACAACTGCAAGAGCAAGGGAAGGAGAGCCATAGTCAAGGGCTAGATGAGCAAGATTTGTGCAGGCTGCATGAGAACGCACAAAAACATGAATTCTATGAAGCAGAAGAGCAACCACTGAAGCACCAAGGTCATGGAAAAGCTGAATTCAGGGCTATTTTTGTTGGCGTGGCAATTTACCAATTTTAATAATACATCTGACCTATTTCATGTGGTATATTGCGTTTTCTTGGGGTGCTTTTTTAATCAGATGTTGAAAAGAAAGAAGATAACCAGTGGCAGAGGACGCCACAGTAAGGGAGGTGTGGAGGGAGGACACAGCTGGCATGGCAAAGGGAGTGTAAGTCAGAACTGGAGGGATACTGGCAGTATTATTAAAGAGGTAAGATTTAATAGGACTAAGGCCTTCAAAATTAAGCACAGAGGACTCTGGTGGTAAAGAGAGAAAACAATCTAAAGAGCATTAATCGGTGACTTGGGTTGAAGCTGTCTTTCTCACAGTTTTCTGGTATGAAAACACAGCTTGGGGTCCCAAAGCAAAATCTACACACCTTTAACAGTCTGGGTCTTAGTCTCTCTGTGGCCCCTGCAACCTCCCATACAATGGGAGCTACAGTCTTTCATGCAGGAATCACAGGGATATATATCACAGTAACAAGAGTTAGGTACTTTAAAAGTAGCAAGACTAACTTACTGTATTCACTCCTCCTGCCTCTGCTTCCACTGGTGGTCACTTCACCTGCAGCAATGAACACAAGAGAGTATATTTAGGCCAGCCACGCTCAACTAGCTGCTCTCCAACACCTACAAACCCTTAGGCACATGTGGCCAGCTGCTGGGCTGTGTGCCCATGGAGCAAGGTCAAAATATCTGGGCTACTGGGAAAATATGACATCTAAGAGATGCTCCGCTGCATCGCTGGTATTGCAGCAGCAATGCCAGTTTGTGCAAGCTATTACCTCTGCAATAAGCTTTGGCTCCTTCTTGTTTTGTACCAGAAAATGTTCGCCTTTCAGTTGTGATACCTGAATTATCTGAGACACTGTGCTGTGACACAGGCCAGAGAACTGATCCAAATGGGGAAAAAAAATGCAAAAAGGAAAGCTGGAGTTGCAGCTGATGCTCCAATAATCACTCAAGAGCTTTAAAGAATCAGTCACAGACCGTGGCTAACAGGTAGCCCCTTTCTGAAAACAGAAGGGTCTTGTGCAGCACACCAAAAGAAAAAATATAACATGAAACAAATATTTAAGTTGCAGGATATTCACTGAGCTTATCTCCATTTGGGTCAAAGGTGAGTTCAGCTAGACAAAAAGAAAACATTACAAATACATATTGCCAGAAATAACTGTTGATTACTGCTATTCTTTTACATAGGATACCTTTTTCCTAAAAATGCTTTAAAACCATCTAAGGAGGCATTTCAGTGTAACACGCCATCTCAGACTAACGTGCAATCACACCAAAAGCCAGAAGGGAACAACTGCTGCAGGGTGGAACTAAAGTGTGTCAGCACAGCAACAAAAAGTATGAAAAAAAAGCCCTAAAACTGCCCTGGAACATACTGAAATGTATAAATAAAGCTGTGGGGGGAGCCCTGGGCTGGGCTAGCAGGGGGGCTTCAGGGAGGGAGTGCAAAGCCCTGGCAGAGCTATGTGGGAATAAAATTAAAATAGAAATTATGTCTTATTTTAGGATCACTGGACTCGATGCATATATTCTTCACTCTTTAATACCACACTTTAAAACTGAACTAATCCGCTTTAAAGTCATTTTAATTTACTCCTTAGACCCTTGGCAAATGGAAGAATAGGCTTACGCTTTTTGAAAAAAAATCAGTTTGTCTGACTTGTAACAATTGATCAGGTAGAGATAACAGATATCAAGGTTAAGAAGAGTTTTGAAGAAAAGAAGGATGACACGAATTCATCTGTTGCCTTTCCAGCTGAGTCTTCACTGTGAAAGGTGATGTTTAGGAAAGCTAATTAAAGCAGACAAATTAGTTACATTCTTTCTAGTCTCATGCACTTGCCAGTGTTAGCCGAAGAGCAAAGTATGAACGAAAGAGACACAGACTTCACAAAAAGACTTCTCCCTGTTGTTCTAAAGATTATTTTTAAATGCATGCAAATATTTTTTTCTATTTCCTTACACTTTATTTTTTTCCCAACAATTTCTCTAATGTAGTCATTGACAATGAACAAAATAGATAGAGACACAGCTACAAGAACCTCCTTTTTCTTTTCCTGTGTAGATTTAGAGAAAGCCTTTGATAAATATTTCTTATTTCCAAAAAAATGAGCAATGTGCAGGTGGACAGCTGAACCATAACAATGTCATCTCTAAAAGAACAAATTTCCTGACAGTATGGAAGATGCAGAATACAGTTAGATTAAACCAAAGGAAAAAGTAATGTAATATACCTATAGCAAACTACCAGAGGGTAGTGGAAAACTTTCTTAGAAAAGAAGTAGAAGAAGCATTACCAGAGAAATGCATATTGCTATTAATGAATATGTTACAGGCTAGGAATTGAACTACTGCATTGTTTTAGAGAAGAATGAGGACAGCTCAGATATGGACTCACTCCCTTTTTTCTGTACTTATTTCTTCTACAGAAGAGCTGAAATGCGGGATACACTAAACTAGCTTTCATTAAAAACCTATAACCCAGTTGGAAAACTGGAAAGAAGTCTTTTATTCAAAAAATCACTTTTTTGATAGTGGAAATTCATTATTCCTAAATGCAAGATTTTAATGTTCTTTTTCCAAACAGGGGAAGGAGAAGATCCATCATTTCATAGCTGTGCTTTTCCTTTAATATCACTAACACTGGGATATTTTAGAGGCATTAGCACACTTCCATGGGATCCCATGTTTCTAGGAAATTAAATAATGTTGTAATTTAGGTGGAAACTCACCAAATATCTTTGTTATTCGTTCCTCCATAAAAGATTGGGTGAAACCTGGTGAAACAAAGAAAGAGAAAGACTCAACACCAGTTGGAAACATTTTAGAAAAAAATTATTAAATTTATCTTAATTACATCTATCAGACGTTTCATACTCTCGTCATGTGTGGTGAGTACTAAATGAGATTAAATGAACAAAGGGAAATTTTGCCTATGAACATATTTCTAAAGAGTTAGTTTCTAGTGACAGCATTCCTCTGGGAAGTGGCGTGATTTACATTACCCAAGTCTCTTGATCTATACTAAGTGACAGTATACATTGTATGAATCAATCCTGCAAAGAGCACAGCAGGATCAAACCATACGCAATCAAATCTCTTACATATCCAATTTCCAGAATATTGTGTTGCTTCTCTTGGGCATTTTTAAAGACTTTTAACTACACTGGATACTAATCTGACCTAATTTAAAATCTAAAACAAAATAAAACAAGACTCAGCACGTGTCTAGGATGTTACTTCCACTATATAAGAAGAAATCCACACAGCTGCCTGCTACACCCATGAGATGCAGTTGAGACCTGGAGCCAATTGCAATGTCAAATAAAAGGTAGTGAAACCCAAGCAAGATCTAGAAAGGAAAAGAAGTCAAGAAACTCCTTGGATGGGTCTAGGCATAAAGAACAGGGGTCGCTGCAGAACCGAGAATTCTGTGCATCGGTGCCTGTCCTGCCCAGCTGGCTTCTGTCAGAAGTCGTTCATGAATGCTCACGTTGTACTGTGAAAACATTAAGGCCAACACTCAAAAGAAAAATGGTTATTGGCTTCAGATACTCTGTCTGGGGCTCAGACTGAGATAATTAAACCAGGAGACCACTCTTCACTTGCAACAATTAACACACAGACTGTAAGGTACTTGGAATATTTCTATAGGAAAAGTTCCATACATTAAAAAAGTAAAACTGTATTTTATGAATTTATGTGTGACTACATATAATTATTTTCATTTTCCTCAGCAAGCCGGCTCCTTCTCTTCAGTCACAGTCTTAACTGCTGACTTCAGTAATAAATATTTTTGTTTCAGCTCCTATGGGCTTTACAGAGCAGATGGCTATTGGTTAAAGCCCTGGTGTAGAATTTGGGAGAACTAAGTTCCAGTGCCTGTTTTGTCACTGAATTCCTGTGTGACTCTTGGCAAGATATAAAGCCTTTGTGTGTGCCAGTACCCATGTGCAAAATGAGTGTTGATAAATATATTAAAAATTGTATGATAGTAATGGAGGGCATGTGAGTAGCCTGGATTAAAAGCAAGCAGGGCTCAGAGAGGGAGCTGCATCCCATTTTTTGAAGAATATTTTTCTTCTGTTAAGAATCAGTTCTGAAGTTTCTGTCAATAATATCCATTCAAACTCATTGAAATATATACCCTAGGGGCTGACATAGGCTAGAAAGCATTCTAGTTATCAGTTGTCCCCATTTTTAGAGTTAATTTTCATAGTAGGAACTTTACACTGCTTAAGAAGGGGTTTTAAGCAGTGTCATGTGAGCCAGCATGCAATGCCGTACATAAACCACCCCTCCGCATGGCTCCCTAGGGGCTCCTGGTCTGGGTGTCCATTCCTTCTGTAGTTGGCTATGGGGAAAAAAAAACTCACCAGTAGCTTCCGTGGTTGTGCCCTCCAGGTAAGAAGCTGTGAGATCTGGGGACAGTAATTATGAGAAACAATTGAATATCTCCTGTACACTCGAAGGACATGAAACACTTTCTGGGAGTTTTGATCTCCACAGCGAATAGCATGTGTCTGAGTAACCCAGCACTCTCCACTGTCTTGAAAGACGTTCAGCTGTGGGTCCCTAAGAGTTATTTTGATCTCTAGAGGTTGCAGGTGTACACAGCGATAAGACCAGCTGAATTTTCCATCATTGCTTCCCAACAGCATCTTGGGTCTCCGCACTGCACTTGTGTCATCATAGAATCATAGAACGGTTTGGGTTGGAAGGGACCTCTAAAGGTCATCTAGTCCAACCCCCCTGCCGTGGGCAGGGACATCTCCAACTAGATCAGGTTGCTCAGAGCCCCGTCCAGCCTGACCTTGCTCAGAGCTGCTTTCAGCACCTGGTATGTGCGCTAGAAAAAACTCCTGTGCAGTTTTCATCTTAGAAAACAGGATTCAGCTTCTGCCACATTTACCTCAACTTGGGGGGG